TATATATATATATATATATATATATATATATATATATATATATAAAGTTATAGTCATTAATAAAATAAATAAAGTTATACATATTAATAAAACGTATGCAATCTGCACCCTCGAAATGAAAGTACAAAGACTGCCACCTGGTGGTGCAAAGAGAAAACTTATTGATATGAACTTTTTAGATGGCTTTAGTACAAATTGTGTATAATAGAAATGCAGAATATGTGACTGTTTTAAAGCAATAATACATTTATGCAGTCATAAACATGTTTTGATAGTTAATATGCCGGTGATTTGATGCTTCACAAAAGTTGCAGACGCCTTTACCAATATGAAACTGCTTTTGTAAACAACCAGTTATTCTTTACACTGATTAAAAAACGGCTACTATAATAAAGAAAATATTTTCTAAATGTGGAACTAAATACATTGATTTGCATTGAAATACATGATGAATACTCTTGACACATGAAAGTGTAAACCCTGCAGCTCACAACAAATGTGTAAAGTCATTGCGTGTCATATTTAACAAATCGTTTACTGCTAATTTGATGTAATTTTGCTCACATGGATAATTGAATATTAATCAGATGATGTCATTACGCTGCTGTGCCAGCCTGATCTCACGAGAAAACGTAAGTATTTTACGTTTTGCCAGTTTAAAGGGCTAATTTGTACGAACTCGTACGAGTTCAGTCGTACGAAATGGTATGATTTTAAAAAGGAGGCATGGCACCTGACCCCACCCCTAACCCCAACCGTCATTGGGGGATAAGCAAATCGTACTAATTTGTACGAATTAGATCGTACGAATTCATACGAATTAGCCACTAAATGAAAAAGTTACGAATTGCCGTGAGATTATGTTGGCTGTGCCGTCAGCCAATCGTTGCATTGCTGATCATGATTTCGAGGATCGATAGATCTGTCCTTCACAACACACGCTGCGATCTCAGATCAGTTCATCCAGACATTCTAATCTGATTCGCGAACTTGTTTGAAGAACCAAATTAGCGAGAGATCAGTTATCAAGATGAACAGATCCAGGATCTGCCAAATCATCTTAGATCATTTAAGCGAAGTACTAAGAACGGACCCCTGGGCTGGATTCTCAAATTTATTTGTGTAATTTCTTTCACTCCACAATGAAATTGCATACATTCTTGAGCTTCCGTAGGGGAGCAAGAGTTTGTTGCTTTACCATGTCATGTGCCAGTGGAGACGGGATCTCCAAGTTCGAGCCGCATGCATAATTTGGTCACAGTTTGACTTACAACATCCAGGTGTTCTGAGTTCACCGAGCTGGCTGTAAATAGTCCATAAGTGTGAAATTAGGATCATGCATTACTGAGGGTCCTTCAAAGATTGTGACATCAATCTCCAGCAAGCTTACAAACAAGCCAGTTTGATTGTTTGAAAGTTCTGCAAAGATCCAGTAATTCTGAAATGTTTATAGATTGCTAATCCAATTTGGCAGAGCCAAAATGTCAAGTTAGCATAGTTCCCTCCAACTGAAATTATTTAATTACTGAGGAATCAGCTGGATTTGCAATTTAGTCCATTGGAAATCAGAAGCAGCGCGATATTAAGTGAAACAATAGCGGAAAAGCAGTTTTAAATGCCAAACTTGATCATCCACAACTTGAATTGGGTAGGAAGGATATTTCCAAATGCACTTTTCTAACAATGGATTACTCAGCAGCAACTCCACAAAGACTTGTTAAACGGCGAGAATAAAAACTGGAGTGCAATATAGCCATCAGGTTGGAAAAACTGCTCTCCATAAAAGTTTGCAAAGACTCCACGACAGAAAGTCTTTCCGGACACTGGAAAAGTTAACGATTAAGACACTATGATAGAAGAGGTCATCTTTTGTCTGGTATTTGCAATGGCGGGGACATTCTTTAGTCGGACTGCATATTTGCACAATGTCCAGTGTCCCACGCCAAGATCTTCCTACAATTTTTTTAGACTACTCTCTAAGCCAAATAAAATAAACCACAACGTTCCAATAAATATTTAACCCTTTCCAGTCGTTTTGTCCTCAACATATACGCCACATATTGTGGTAATATTAATAGTAAACCAAATTGAACTCGGAGAGATTATAGGCCACAGTTCATCATGTAACATGCATGTATTATTTTTCATACCTTGTTTTCTCTGTTTAATCCACTATAGAGACTGTATGTCCAGCAAAGATTGCAATTAATTCTCGAGATGAGAAAGGCTTTGACATTCTCCTACATCTCAACTTGGCTAAAAAAGCCAAAAAGACACAAGGATCGTTTTATGGGAGTAAAGCCTACCAGGTGACATCCCGAGACGACCTGAGTGAGAGTACTAGGTGAAGGCATTTCTGTTATCAAGGCTTTCCGGCTTTGCAAGTGTACTCTGTTTGAATTAAAACAACTTGTTCATCTTAATGTCCACAGGATGTTGTTTCCAGGTGGACTTCCTCCTTCCTATGTTTTTGTGGCTACCTTAAAGTACAAAGGCTCTGTGGCTATAGAGGAGTGGGACTTATGGCGGATACAGACTAAAGATGAAAAACCTCAAATGGCTGTTAGCCTCAATGGCCTGGACAGAACAGTGATGTTTACCACCACCACCAGCAAAACACCAAGCGGAACTCAAACTGTGGTCTTCACTAAATCACCAGCTAAGGTAAATACACAGCATGACAGAAGAGTTTTGAAGCAGTCATGCGCTGAAAAGATTATAATGGCTGCTCACCAGCATACCGTTTTAGATGGTTTGATCCTCGGTTGAAGTCCTGCTATATTAAATTAAAAAGTCCATGCTTCCTGATGCTTTATCAGCACTGATTAAGGGTGTTTTCACACTTGGTCCATTTGCCTGGACCGTACTCAAGTTCAATTGTCTCCCCCTGCCACCTCCTCGGTTGGTTTGTGTTCACACTGTCTTTTTTCTTTCTGAACCCCGGTTTGCTTGCGTCATCGAGCTGCTGTTTTGCTTACAGCCGTTCGCGGTCATTCTGCTTTAATAGAAGCTTTTGGTTTCGGACATAAAGAAAGCGACTCGCGTCCATCTGCCGCAAACATTTTATAAACATTCAGAACCTCACACAGTGTCTGCAGGAGCGGTTTTTGAAGGAGACAAGCAGACATCACTGTGTATCACTGTGTTTGCTCTGACTCGGTCCCGCGCGTGTCACCAAGGTACGAAACGTGACACACACACACAAACACAAAAACACGAACGAATGTTATGAAAATGATAGTTTCTTGTACAGTTGGAGGTCCGTTATTTGGTACGATTGCATTCACATCAGAAGTGAACCGTACCAGAGTTCGCATGAACCGTACCCCAGACCACCTCTTTCAGGCGGACTCGGGTACGGTTCACAGGTGCGCACCCGAGTTCAGAAGACACACTAGCTAAACGTACCGTACTATGACGTCAAACGAACCCGGGTGCGGACCAAAAGTGCTAATGTGAACGCACCCTTAGTCTTGAAATACATGCATCCCAAAGATGGATTCAGGATGAAATCTCAGACAGAGCATCCCTCAACTGCAGGCCCATGGCAGACGAGAGCACCAGACAACTAATCCCAATATAAATAGAATTTGTACAAAGTTTAAATGGATTTTTTATACATTATAGACTTGATTTTTTTCATTTAATGAACATTCCTGATAGACTTTAATGCATGATTCTTGAGTATTAAAAATATGAGCTCCAATAGTTGAGTGTTTTGAACAAAATTTGGAAACTGCCACTAAATGTTTCCTGTTTAACATTAACATCATTGTCTAACGGTTTACTCATATTTTCTTATATTGAAAGGGATAGTTCAACCAGAATTAAAAATTCTGACATCAGTAATCCACCCTTTGATGGTTCCAAACCAGTTTGAGCTTCTTTTGTTGAACACAAAATAAGATATTTTGCAGAATGCTGGACATCCATAGTATTCGTTTTCCCACTATGGAAGTAAATAGTTAAAAATGTTTAGCTTTCTTCAAAAGATCTTTTGTGTTCAACAGAAAAAAGAAACTCAAAAAGGTTTGCAACCACTTGAAGGTGAGTAAATAGTGAGTAAAATGTCATTTTTAATCTCTTTAAAAGATGTAAACTTCACTAATGTAATCACTTTTATCAATTAGAAGAAGAGCAAAATCTTAATTTAGCTTTTTTTTTAATGTATTGTGCAGAAACTATTTGATGAAAAATGGCATCAGCTGCGTCTTTTAGTGACAGAGGAAGACGTCACCCTGTATGTTGATGACCTGGAAATTGAAACCTTGGCGCTGGAGCCTCCTGATGGTATTTTTATTAATGGGAAAACGCAGGTTGGGAAGTACGTCAGCAAAGAAACAACAGTACCTGTAAGTATATCATTGACTTCTACTTTTATAAAGACTACCATTGTTTTTCTATTGTTATTACATGTTTTTTGTCAAACGTGGATACATTGCACAGGCTTTTGTTTGGAGTGGTGGTTCAGTGGTTGAACATTTTGCAGAACAAGTATCAGAACATTTAAACATTAAAAAAAAAAAAGTGTCAATACAGTATGGAAATACAGTATGTACTGTTATCTCTGAAAGTATGGCAGTTCACCATTCTTACCAGACACAGGATATTAATGATTAAGGGCCAAAAAAATCTAATCTGTACAGAAAAACAATATATATATATTTATTTTTGCGTAAAACGATTAGAAGACAATGTCTATTGGTTCACATCAATTCAACATCAATTTCACTGATAATAAGGCCCAATATAACTAACTGCAACCCAAACAAGATGTTATTACATTTTACAACAAAATAAATCTATAATTTATAGTCATAAATATAACATGGGAAATCTGGCATGCTTTAGAGAATGATTTTTGTCTTCTGGTAAAAACCTCTCTAACTTATTTTCCTTTTTGTCGCCACAGCAGAATGAACCATCAGTGAAAAAACACCCATTTTTAATTAAAAGACACAAAATTACTAATGTACCTAGTAGACAGGGGCAAAACGGCAACTCATTACGCAATTTCACGTAATTATTTCACACTTTGCTTTAAAATATTAAGATGATTATTATAAAAAAGTAGCACTTTGATGGTACTTAGGTATGAAGTAATTAATTGACAAAACAAAACTAATCAAATGAACAGCACCTTACACGGCGCGATTTTGGCAACAAATTGGTCTTCCACTTGTCAAAGGCTAAAATCTTCTCGAAACATCCAAAATAAAAATGAGAAATTCTAAAAAAAAAAAAAAAAAGTCTTTGATGGTTGGTTTGATTTTCACTTACAGCAAAAGAATGTCCTTTGCAATTCCTCCAATAACGCTATGTCACTGTCAGAGTGTTTGAGATGGTCTGGTACTAAGCCAGAAAATACATATCAGTGATTTCAATCACATAACACTTATTTTATATTTACAACACTGAATTTCACTTGAGTACTAGCAAAACATCCATTTATAATTCATAAAATACACCACTGTTGTTGTTTCTGACATATCCAAGTGTGGTAGCATGTGTGGTTTTTGTTTATGAATTCTTAATGTAGAAGTTAGCTTATTCTGAAAAAATAATAAAAAAAGCCATTAATAACATTTTATATTGTGCAATTTGGGTTGCCGTTTCTGTGTGGAGTTTGCATGTTCTCCCCGTGTTGGCGTGGGTTTCCTCTGGGTGCTCCGGTTTCCACCACAGTCCAAAGACTTGATGAACTAAATTGGCTGTAGTGTATGTATGTGTGAGAATGAGAGTGTATAGGTGTTTCCTAATACTAGGTTGGAGCTGGAAGGGCATCTGCTGCGTAAAAGATATGCTGAAATAGTTGGCGGTTCATTCTGCTGTGGAGACCCCTGATAAATTTGGGACTAAGCCGAAGGAAAATGAATAAATTAATAAATTGTGCAATTTGTACACTATCAAAAAAAATGCATAATGCATATTTCAGCAGAGATTTGTGAGGTAACTCAACTTAAACCCACTCAAGTCCAGTACTTAGGTTAAAAGCTGAGCCTAACAATTAGTCAATTGTTTACAGTATCTACAGTACATGCTTGCTTTTAGACAGAACAAGTAACTCGAAATGTCCATCCCTAATAAGTGAAGTTTATTCATAAACTAATTTCGACAGGATCACGTGCTTATGATTTATCACGGCCGGTCTCGTATTTGCTAATCACTATCTTCCAATCATAAGAGCCCTAAGCTACTATAAATAACCACAGTTTTCAGTTCATTTTATCTTCGCTTGGAATAAAATCCTTTACCTCTGATCGGGCGGCACGGCGGCCCAGTGATTAGCACTGTGAGCTCCACAGCAAGAACACTGCCAGCCCTCGTCCCACCAGGCAGGTGGGCATTTCTGTGATGAGTTTGTATGTTCTCCCCGTGTCTGCGTAGGTTTTCCCCGGGTTCTCCGGTTCCTTTCCACCATCCTAAGACATTCAACATACATAACAATCAAGCATTTGTCTAACCCCTCGTGTTCCCTTAGCTACCACAGCCGGGGAGTTCTGAGATCCACCGAGCTCAGGCTCCCCTCTCGCTCTGCCAACGGGAGGAAGCCCCGGGCTCGAGGATCCCTTGAGCTCGGGGCTCTCTCCCGGGACAGCATGCCAAACAAGCTTTTGATGGATCATCAGCTAAGCTAAAGAAACAAATGAATCAAAAATAGAGGTGAAAAAAGAAATTAAAGCTTGACATTAGATTTAATGCTCCTAATTTACGCAGCTAACAAAATGATGACAAAGCACATTTCACAACTTTATGAAAGAATGATGGCAGTTATTGGAGTATTTGTATGCGTTTGTGATCTTTCCCCAAAGAATAAACATAACATGGATCATTTTCAACATGTGCAACACAGCAGTCTTCTTGTGGAAAAGCAGACACCAGTCATGTTGACACCAAATGTGTTTTATATGCAACAGGGAGCTCCTTTCCCCTTCGCAACTGCCGCAGGCATCGACTTTTCTAAATCTACTCTCATTTCTTGTCTTCCTAAACAGTTTGAAGTACAAAAACTCAGAATCTACTGCGACCCGGAGCAGAACAACAGAGAAACCGCCTGTGAAATACCTGGAGTTGTGAGTACCAGAATCTTGGATGTTTCTATTTTTGCCCTTTCAACTACCCTGCTAAAAAATCCAGCTTAAACCAGCCAACCAGCCTAGGCTGGTTGGCTGGTTTAAGCTGGTCAACCAGGCTGGTTTTAGAGGGGTTTTGGCCACTTCCAGGCTGGTTTCCAGCCATTCCCAGCCTGGTCTTAGCTGGTCAGGCTGGAAAATGACCAGCTAAATCCAGCTAAAACCAGCTTGACCAGCCTGGTTTAAGCTGGACATAGCTGGTTTTTGTTGGGCTCCCAGCCTGCTAGGCTAGTCAAGCTGGTTTTAGCTGGTCATCTCCCAGCCTAACCAGCTAAGACCAGGCTGGAAATGGCTGGAAACCTTTAGCTGGTCATCTCCCAGCCTAACCAGCTAAGACCAGGCTGGAAATGGCTGGATACCAGCCTGGAAGTGGCCAAAACCCCTCAAAAACCAGCCTGGTCGACCAGCTAAAACCAGCCAACCAGCCTAGGCTGGTTTAAGCTGGATTTTTCAGCAGGGCTATATTCCGTGTATTAATGTCATATCGAGTTAAGAATGGCTTGATATTTGAACGGTTTGATCTCGCTACCAGACAATTCTATAAAAACAAAACAGTAAAACACAAAGGACTTTGTTCGTTTCGTTTGTTTATCTTTCGCGATTCCAATAATTCCCGTTCAATGTGTTTCGAGTGTGATCTAATCTGTTCAATTTCACCGACGAACTAGAGGAATCTTTTCAGGCTCAAACAGAGCATGATATTCGCTCAAAGAGTTTATTAAAAGTCAATCACGTATTTGCGTAACACGTCATTGTTCTCAAGTCACTAACTCAATCTGGCACTGATATCTCCTTCAGACTGACTGTTTAGAGATGTGGGCCATTTGTAAACACTGTGTGTGACCTCATTTTGCTTTTCTGCTTGCGCATGCTGCAATGAAGTCTTGCACCTCTAAGCTGTGTTTTCTGCCAATGCCCCTTCATGTATTTTGGCTCCTTTCATTTTTTAGGATGGAGAGGTATGTACTTTTGAAGATGGCTTTGCTCGCTTTGAAAAGTAACTGCTAGCCTCATTTTGAATTGCAGAGGTAAGAGCTGCCTCGTTTTATATTGGAGTGTCTAATTCAGGGGTGTCCAGATTTGGTCCTGGAGGGCCGTTGTCTTGCAGATTTTAGCTTGGACTTGCCTTAACACACTTGCAAGGATGTTGCTAGAAAGCCTGGTAAGAGCTTGATTAGCTGGCCCATGTGCATCTGATTAGAGTTGGAACTAAACTTTGCAGGACACCGGCCCTCCAGGACCTAGTTTGGACACCACTAGTCTAAGCATTGTCTTAGCTGGAAAACAAAATCTACCAGCAGCTTTGAGAACGAATGGCTGAATGATGCTGGTGTGCCAAAAGCATTCAATGAAACTGCCTGCATAAATGTATGAATACTCCAAATAATATCAAAGTATAGTATACTACCACAAAATCATAGTAGTATCTTGGTAGTTTTGGCGTATGATCGTATGATGCCTTAAAGTCAGCACGAAGGCAGATTGTCAAATAGAGAAGAAAAGGATCAGTATTTTATAAAACAGTAGCTATGTTTACATCCAAAGACGTGATGTAAATTTATGGACAAAACTGGAATATGGTATAAAAGACGTGCAAATAAAGCAGCGAATGAGTCAAAGAGAACAAAATCATCACTTCCTGATTATCTGGTGTCAAAAATAAACACGTCATTTGCTGTGGTAGGAGACGCTGCGTGAATCTTAAATGACTTGCACCTCAGAAGACAATGCTGACAAGCAGTAAGTGTGTGGTGGCGCTTAAAGACGCGGAGCACAGATGCTCTTTACTATTCTGGAGGTAATTAATAATATAACAACACTAATACTGAAATGAAACAGTAATCACATGACCTTTTTAATGCGCACGCTGGAATTTGTTCTGTAAAAGCGTTTCCATCATAGTTCATGCACATTTTTTCTTATCAAATAAAAGGTTTATTAGTTCATTTTCAAAATTGATGTGCATGTTGGCATTTCCAAACCACTATTTTTTTATGCGAATATCTAAATATGCATAAAAATAGGTTGATGGAAACAACTAGTAAGACCAGTCAATTTTGCTAGGGTCGAAAGGGATAAGGGGCTTAGAAATCCAGCCAAAAACCACACCCCCCTATCCTCACCCCCCAAAAAAAGAAGTTCCAATTCACCCCGCTGAACATCCCCTGTGACAATAAACAATCTTTACATGTTCCTCCGGCCATTTTAGGTATTTTCATAAGAAAAAAGTCAATTTATAATCCAATGCTAACTGACATAGCATGTTACAGTAGAATATAGCTATAAAATAATACGCGAGATGCATGAACCCACTGTGATTCAACTATTACAGAAACAGATGTGACATCACATCTAGATAAATATGTCTAGATATCTATATCGTATCTAGATAAATATGTCTAGGTATCTATACCACATCAAGATAAATGTCTAGTTACCTATATCACTTCTAGATAAATATGTCTAGGTATCTATATTGCATCTAGGTAAATATGTCTAGATATCTATGTTGTATCTAAATAAATATCTAGATATCTATATTATATCTAGATAAATATGTCTAGATATCTATATCACATCTAGATAAATGTCTAGATATCTATATCACATCTAGATAAATATGTCTAGATATCTATATCACATCTAGATAAATATGTCTAGATATCTATATCACATCTAGATAAATATGTCTAGATATCTATATCACATCTAGATAAATATGTCTAGATATCTATATCACATCTAGATAAATATGTCTAGATATCTATATCACATCTAGATAAATATGTCTAGATATCTATATCACATCTAAATAAATATGTCTAGATATCTATATCACATCTAGATAAATATGTCTAGATATTTATATCATATCTAGATAAATATGTCTAGATATTTATATCATATCTAGATAAATATGTCTAGATATCTATATCACATCTAGATTAATATGTCTAGATTTCTATATCACATCTAAATAAATATGTCTAGATATCTATATCACATCTAGATTAATATGTCTAGATTTCTATATCACATCTAGATAAATATGTCTAGATATTTATATCATATCTAGATAAATATGTCTAGATATTTATATCATATCTAGATAAATGTCTAGCTTTCAATATTGTATCTAAATAAATATCTAGATGTCTATATTATATCTAGATAAATGTCTAGATATTTGTATCACATCTAGATAAATATGTCTAGATATCTATATCACATCTAGATTAATATGTCTAGATATCTATATCACATCTAGATAAATATGTCTAGATATTTATATCATATCTAGATAAATATGTCTAGATATTTATATCATATCTAGATAAATATGTCTAGATATCTATATCATATCTAGATAAATATGTCTAGATATCTATATCATATCTAGATAAATGTCTAGCTTTCAATATTGTATCTAAATAAATATCTAGATGTCTATATTATATCTAGATAAATATGTCTAGATATTTATACTGGATCTAGATAAATGTCTAGATATTTGTATCACATCTAGATAAATATGTCTAGATATCTATATTATATCTAGAAAGCTAGTTTAATTTTCATTTTTCTGAATAATTAGCATGCATTTACATTGATATGAAGCACATTTTATTGATTGCAGTTATTACACCAAAGCTACACACAATTTATACTGTGAAAACAAATATTAAGCTTCATCAGTAGTTAGAACTACTCAGTTTGGTGAAACAGTTGTATTATTACCTCATCAGCTTCAGCTTCTCAAAATAATGAATGAATGATGACAGTGCAGTGGCGGGAATTTTTTTTAACACTTGGCGTGTGACAACAGTCCCACTCCCACCTGCCAGTAGAACAGCCGACTATTTAAATACTCGACACAAAAGCTGCATTAAGTGTAATCCGTGTGATTTATGTGGTTATTTTAATTACTTGGATAACAAAATAAATGTTATACAACCTTTTTTTTAAGATATTGCAAAAGATCAGGGGCTTTAGATTATACATCAGGGACCCCAAAGCCCCTCCCTCGCAACGCCACTGGTGCTATGAAAGAGCTTCAACAGTTTTGGTTGTCTTTCTCTCCATTACATTTCGCTATTTCAGATACTAGGCTGTACAGCTGAATGAATAACAAAGATACTACTAATAAAGAGAAGCTGTACGCTGTTTTGTCACAGAATTTAGTTTTAACATAAAGATAAAATGACATGTGATGCTTTATGAGATGCAGCATAGTAAATCATTTTGGTTTGTTTTTTCAGTGTGCTAATGGACCAGGAGACATCGATCCAACCCCTGAGCCCTGCATCTGCCCACCAGGGCCACCCGGTACCCCTGGAATGACGGTAAAATAGCCTGTCCCACAGCCCTTTAGTGCGTCTATACAGCAGAATAGCTTCTATAATCTCTTCATCGCATCAAAAGCCATTGCACTGCACGTAAAAGTCAGAAAAAGGCAAGTTTGAAATTTATAAGGTCAAGCCTGTGCTTGAAAACACATGCTGCTTTTCAGCAGGTGATCACCGTAAAATGAACAACATTCCCAAATATGTTGAGAGACGGATCTTTTAACTGCAATGTGCTCATTTAAGAGCTTTAGTACACGGCTGTACTATAATTGATATTTAATAATGGTGCTAATCAATTGAATTTATTTATTTATATATATATATTTAATTAGCATCAATTGGTGAAGGATTTAGCTTGACATGGGAAATGCATTTGCAAATAGACTTTGCTTTTTCCTTTGAAATGTGGCAGTCACTGCGCGTTCACGAAAGCGGAAATGCAAACGGTAATGCATGATTTGCATTGCATTTCGATTATGACACAATTTATGCGTCCACATATGGAAAAATCCTATTTGCAATTGCATTTGAACATTGTCCGGGATGTACTTCCATATTTACAGGTAGTTAACCCTTGTGTATTGTTCAACCTGACTACTCTTTCGTTATGTTTGTGGCTGTTTTTGCCCCATGACGTCCACTTATAATAACATTTTTGATTGTAAATCCAAATAATCATGCATTCTTGCTTGTTGCTGGTTGGAAAGAGGCAACATTTGTCATTTTTTACTGTTGATCATCAGTTTGCAGCATTAACACTTTATTTTAGATAGGCCTGTGCAAAATGGTTTATGGCTTTGTTTGAGTTCTATTGAGTAAAACGGCAAATTATGTCGTGCGTGCATAAATACACTTACTATGTTTACTATGTTCTGAAAGCTGAGGGGACTTTTTTATTTTCTCAAACACTCACACTTTACTCCATATAAAAGCCAGAAACTTTGCACTGTTTTTTGTTTTTTGCACTGCAACTGATGCTCAACAGTAACAAATGACAAATGTTACCTCTTTCCAACAGGGAAAACCACCAACAATCAAGAATGCATGATTATTTGGCTTTGAAATAAAAAACGTTATCATAAGTGGACGCCATGGGGCAAAAACAGCCTTCCCAACAGGGAAAACCAGCAACAATCAAGAATCCATGATTATACAGTACGCTGTCATGGCTTTGCAATCAAAAAATGTCAATATAGTAAAAGTCAATTGGGGTAAAAACAGCCCCCAGCATAACAAAAGGGTAGTCAATTTGCCCACAGTGTATTGTTGAGTTTTTGGAAAAAAAAAAAAAAAAAATTCCAAAGCATTTTCCCAAAATATGTGTCAAAATAAAATGCGTCATCAATAATCATGTGGCCAAGTTAAGCCTCAAAATCAACTCAGGGTGGATGAACACATCCCCACCAGCACACAATTTTGTAACAGAATATTATTTTGCAATAAAATTATGTCAGTATATTTATATTGATCATTTAATCACTTCTTTATAGGGAGAACGGGGGAAAATGGGAGATCCGGGTCAACCTGGTCCAGCTGGTGCTGATGGTAAGCCTGTGAGTACTACACAGTTTAATACAACCTCAAATTAACGTGAGCACATGTCGAGTTCAGTGAAGTTTCCAGAACATGCGTTAAGAACTGGTATTCTTATCATTTCAGTATGTATTAGGGTACATGATGGTCTTTCTGGTGATATGCGGCATTTGGATCTAAAGCGGATCCTCTTTGGGTTGCTGTAATAACAACAAATATAAAATGTTGTCCACAAGTGTAAAAGCATTGACGAAGATTTTTATCATTTTAAAAGGGCTGCAGGATATTGGAAACAACTGATATTGCAATATTTTAATTGTCTGAGATAAATATTGCGATATGGGGTATAATATAGCACTATTTGATGGTTTTCTATAGAGTTTAACAGTATTCAGGTACAAAAATTACAGAATCACAATGCGAAAAAGGCTTTTCTTAGCTTGCTTTGTCTCGTTTCCAGCCCAAACATATAAAAATATTTTAACCTCTCTTTAAATTTTTCCTTTCAAGGTTTTCCTTAAAACAAACACAACTAAGAGGGGCAAGCAAATAATCTTGTTTTCGTATTGAAATTTAGATATTTGTTATTAATATTAAATGTTGACTGTTCCTGGGGTTCGAACTGAAATAGGGAAGCGAGCCTTCAGTCATGCAGCCCCCTCATCCTGGAATACTCTTCAGTCTGAACTAAATATGTCTGAGCTCATTCCAATTACATCGTTTCGCTCTATCCTTTTTAACAAACAATAGTCCATTTCTCAATGTATGTGTTTTTAAAATATTTTAATGTGGTATAGCTGAGCAACTAAACTGTATTTTTATATTATCTTAATTTTCTATTTATTATTAATATAATAATAATTATTATTATTTCATAAGTCGTGTGTTGCGGACCTCTTGGCCAGGTCAACCTTTGTGAATTAGATTATCTTGATCTCTGTTATTTGTATATATATATATATATATATACTTTAATCTGTTTAGATAAAGAAACATATACATACATACAGTTGAAGTCAGAATTATTAGCCCCCCTTTGAATTTTTTTTTAATCTTTTTTAAATATTTCCCAAATTATGATGTTTAACAGAGCAAGGACATTTTCACAGTATGTCTGATAATATTTTTTCTTCTGGAGAAAGTCTTATTTGTTTTATTTTAGCTAGAATAAAAGCAGTTTTTAATTTTTTTAAACACCATTTTAAGGTCAATATTATTTGCCTCTTTAAGCTATATATTTCTTTTCGATGGTCTACAGAACAAACTATCATTATACAATTACTTGAATCTACATTTAAACAACCTGAAAACTGTATAAAGCTTAAGAAATGTGAAATGTTTTGATTTTACCATAATATTTTTATTTTTTGTTTTCAGTTTGTACACATTGAAATACAACATTTTACAAACATTTTACAACAATAACCTTGTTGCATTTACAAATTATACAAAATATAAGGATATATATATTTACAATAAAACTAAAAGCAAACAACAAACAAACGAGCAAAAAAAAAAAAAAAAACTTAAACTGCTCTTTTTGTCATTAATGGTAATCTATTCAATCATGACAATCATAAGGAAATATGGCATTTGGCATCATTTTCCAAACTAAACAAAAAGAAACAACAACAATACTTGTAAGTAATGAAAAAACTAATTTTATATTATAAAATAATTATAAAAATGGCTTCTAAAAAAAAGTCAATGGGCACCAAACAAAGTACTGTATGGCATATTTGGGGAAAACCCTTTTTCTAACCTACATTCGTGTAAAGGTCAAGTCACAGCAAGACTTACTGTGTAAATAAACAGAATGGCCTTTGATAAACTATAATAAAACTCATGTCCTGGCAGATGCACTGAAACCTTCCCCATAAAAACATGTAGCAGAGAATCATGCAACATTCTCACGTCAACAATATTTTTAATTCAAAATCAAGTCTGAATTTCAAGAACCAGTGGGGTTTATTTTATGGCTCAAAAAACTAAGACATTATTGTCGTCGTCCAGCTGGAGTCTGCACAAATGGTTCATGTAGGCGTGTACAGATTGCAAAAAACTAATAATAAATTGCAAACTCGAGGCACAAATATTCAAGATGACCTCTTTTTCCCCATTGCAAGTTAAAATTAGTTTTCCTTTCACAGCAAGAACAGCATAGTTAATTCATATTTAACCCTTTTAAAAAATAAAACATAATCAACATCAATCATAAAATCAACATAAACATTTAAAAATGAGTTGAAATGTTGTAGTTTGTATTTGTTTTGTTTGATATAACTTATTTTCATTTAAATGTGTTATCGTTCTATTCTTAAAGATGATTGGTGCATATATGTTTACGATTAGGCGACTAATGTTTTAATCAGTAAATCACAGCAGGCGAATGTTAACATTACTTTGATTAAGCTTGAACTTGACTTAGCCAGAGAGTTAACCTGCCTCGGACCAGGCTAGTTTCCCAGCATAAGTTGCAATTGTAACTGAGCTTAAACTATCGTAAATTTGATTTATGAAACCGAATCCGCTATTAATAAACCTGACTTACCAAAATAAGCCTGGCTGATTCTCTAAGCTTAGTTTATGGAACATCAGATCCCAGATCTGCTATTGAGTTAACCTGACTTATCTGAATTTTGAGTGTGCTTATTTATCTTTGAAACAAGTCACTGAGTAAACATGTGGTGGCATCCACTGTTTGAGTGATGTTAACCAATCATTCGTTGCACTGTATGAGTGATGTTAACCAAGCTCTAAGGGGGACCATATATAGTTAGCAAGCTCTTTTTTTGAGGTGTGCTTTGATTTCAACACATTTTGGACTGGGAAATACATTGAGTAATGCTAATTTGATTTTGTTATTTTATATTGACTATGACATTTGCATGACTGCGAGTCAGACTGATATGAGATGTCATTTCTTCATTAAAGGGTGTGCCAGGATTTAGAGGAAGTCCTGGCATTCAAGGCTCTCCTGGCATTGAGGTATGGATGCATGCTTCAGAAATGGACATTCCCTATCAAACATCATGCTGCACTTGACCATGCTGTTTATCTGTGTTCGGGCAGGGGCAACGTGGAGCTGACGGACATAAGGGGGAAAAGGGAAGTCCTGGAGAAGCAGTAAGGAGCGTTTTTCATTATGAAAACATATGAAGCATTTATATGATACAGCAAAGACATTAATATCAGCAGTTCTGATCTTCATTCCCACACAATTTGCATTTATTGTCACACATGGTTTAGTTCATGCAGCTTTCTACTGGGGAGATTTGTTAGGTAAAGAGAGCATGCAAAATGTGCAGAGGTGTTGGTATTCTCGACTAATCTCCAGGATGAAAACCACTGATCTACGTAGCTACATTTACACACCACCGAATAATCCTTTAGCAAATGCACCAGCAATTTAATCCAACTCAAAAGGCCTCATGTACACTCAATCGATCAGGGGTGCGTTTCCGAAAACCATCATTAGATAACTGAGGTTGCAAGTTGTGTTGTTACAAGCATAGTTTGTCGATTTGGCATCGATTTGGCACTTGTACGCTTGCAGTTACACCTGTAGAGCTGTAGTTGGAATCATAGTCCCTGGTTGTGTTTTATTCACAGTTATCCTTTATGCCCTATTCCTTTCGAACGTCCAGCATTAAACTTGGAATAATAATAATAATAATAAAAAACCTTAAAGTCATCACTCTTAGGTGTAATTTGCTTTCAAAGTATTTTTACAGTTCTGTTTCAGCGATCTTCATATTGACAATTGCATCTGTAGTGCATTTTTACACAGCCGTGGCTCATGACGAAAGCTATACTGTAGGTGACCAATTTTAAAAAGCGGAATTTACGTCTCCAAAGCTTCTGAAAACAAAAATATATAGCATACGTTGATGGTTTTAATTTAAAGCAGGTTATTTGTTAAGAACTGTATCACTATATGACATGGGTGTGCTGGTTAGAACATTTCTGCAGTGGTTTGCATGTGTCAACTTGTAAAAGTCTTTATTTACAATCTGACACATTCAAATTTGGACTTTTACAATAAATAAAAAATATATAAATAAACAAAATCCCAATTAATAATAATAAAAAAAATAATAATAATCATTATTTTTATTAAGTAGGATTTTTTTCATTTCTTAATAAATAGCTTACTATTACAACGATTAACAATTATGATTTATATGAGATTAGAATACGTGTTAGCTAAGTGGTTGTATGTTTTAGAATAGAATATTGAAAACTCTCAATAATATTTGTAAAAGAAACATAGGCAGTTTATGTGCCGTTTATATATTTCAATTAATATGTTAAACGTGTGCATGTTTTTACCAAAACTAGTATTAGATTTTTTTAAATGTGTGTGCTTGTAAATCAATATAATTTGCACAAAAAGTTATGTTTTTTTCCCTTTTAAGATGTTGTCATTTCACACCATTTAGAGCGTCATTATGGACGTTTTACCTTATATCTAACGTGGTTCAAACGACAGATCTGTGACAGAGAAACTACATCTCTGTAGTCTGTCACTACATCGTTCTTTTCCCAATTGATGTGTCGTACTATCATAGTTCAGCCATGTGTTAAGTCAATGTTTGGGAAATGCACGCCTAAGTGAACTCTATTCAAATGAAGTTGAATAGATGTATAATAGGTGTAGACCTTTCCTAATCCATTGGAGTGGACATGCAAGTAGAGATCTGCGCGGGACTAAATTTTGAATCTCGCTCCCGCCCGCACCCGCCAGGTTTTAGCCCGAACCCGACCGCTCCCGCTTATATTAAGAATTTGTTGTCCCGCTGCCCGACCCGCCCCGTTTTCTGCCCGCCGCGCCCGATCCCGCTAAACAGCGGGGGAGAACATAACCGACAATCACCCAGCTATACAGTCCAGACAGCCAAGCTGTCTGTATAAACACACACACACACAGCACCAAGCACACACACAGACAAAGCTCTCTCTCTCTCTCATACACGCGCGCACTAACACACACACAAGCACCAAGCAGACACACAGGCGTTTGCTGTTATATCAACTCAAAGGCTTGTAATACCATGTATCAAGTACCAATGTAATACCAAAAAGTTTTATATAAAGGTATATAAATACTGAGTCGCGCCAGCTCCAGGCCGCAGCGCACATTACTCTCGGGCCGATTCCGGCGCGGATGCGGCAGCGTCGGCTCGCTTACGGCCGCCGCATCTGACCCGATTGATTCGGGCCGGAATCGGGCAGCGAGTCCACGAGCATCCAGCCTGAGTCCGGCAGCCGGAGCCGGGCCGAGTGGTAAGTCTCCGGCAGGCGAGAATCTAGCCGGAACTGGCC